TACAATAGCTTCTATTTCTGCCCCATTATTAGTTTGTTTTATTCTTGCTTTTGCGCTGACGTTAAGAGGGTGTTGGTGATTGAACCATACCCCTATCGCTGCTCTTGCTGATTCTTTGCCGTTGGCTTTACAAGCTCCGTCGATAAAAGCGTGTACATAACATCTACTACATCGCCTACGTTTATATCTAACGGTCTAGCTTGCTGGTCATAAACCTCCTTTGATTTTAATTTAGCGTTGATTATATTTTTCGCGACTAACCTTCTGATTTTGATCAGTCGTGTAACTAATTCTTGCAAATAAGATTCATATGTTGCTAATTTTTCCTCATTGGGAAACGAAGTGGGGATTCTTGATTTTTTTCCAAATACTACCTCATAGGGCGTGAATTTAGTCGCCGTGTGAACCGAAGTGTTATAAGCTAACATGGCAAAAGGTAATAAACGGTCCCAATCGTCGTTAGCATTAGCATAGTGCCTAATGTATTCGGCTAATACCGCGTGACTTCTTTCTAGGGCTCCATTTGTTTGCGGGTGATATGCAGTAGTCGTTACTTGAGATACCTTGAAAATTTTGGCTATTCTTCTCATTAAATTGCTAGTGAACATTCAGCCTCTTTCCGTCGAGATCGTTTTGGGTGCTCCGTATACGGAAAATAAATGTATCGCTAAAGCGTGAGCTATTGTTGTCGCACTTATATCGAATATGTTTGTTTTTCGGTAACATAGTTTAATTTCAATCTTGTCATCACGAAACGTTTTTACCAATTTTTCTATACCATTTTCGCCCCACTCGTCCAGTAGGTCACCATAACGTGACACTCTAAACTGTTTTATGCCTTCTTTTAACAAAATTTCTTTAAGGTTGTGGAACGCGAAATCTAATTCCTCTTCGTCGATTTTTTGGTCGTATTTTTCTGTCACAATTACTGTAAAAGTTCTGTACTTTCCTTTTGGCGTAATTAGAACTTGTCCTACTTTTGGTTTGATATTTTTTGAGCGTTCGGTCTCGCCCTGTGGATGGGAGTGTCAAAAGTGACCGTTTTCTTGTTGGCTATAGTGTCTTTTACGAATTTAGTAGTTTCACTTTCCGAATTTCTACCCTCTACTATGCTTTCGCTTGGCTGATTTATTTGTTCTGTAATTTCTTGTAAATCTGCTATAATTTCATCTATTGATCTAACCTCATCTCGTTCTGTTTCTTCCTCTTCCGCAACTTTTTTCCTCACCCCCTCTTTTTCGATTAACGTTTTCTACGATTGGGGTACAAAAGTTCCAAAACAAAAGTTCCAATGACGACTGGCCCAAAGTATTATTTTTCCAAAGGACATTTTTTCGAAAAATTCTTTTTCCCAAAGGACATTTTTTCCAAAGTATTCTTTTTCCATTAGTCGTTTTTGCCAAACATTGTTTTCTTTTATTTTTCAAATTTGAAAGTGCAAATTGAAGTCAGGAAAATGTCATTTGTTTTTGGAGTATGCATTGACATTCGTGTTGTTTGTCCAAAATTGTAGTGTCACTAAAAATTTTAGTTCAATTGTGAAAATTTTATTTAAATTGCAAATCGTGTAATAGTAAAAAAAAGAAATAATTAATTAATATGGCTGAACTGATACAACACCGCCGGCTCAAATTATGCGTCGCTTAAACGATGTTCCATCAGCAGTTTTAGCGGAACTCCCAGATAGGATGAATATAAGGAAACGGATACAGCTCGAGCGTTTAAAAGATTTGCCTCCTAACCCTCAAGACATAAGAGAATTACGAGAAATCCCTGACCAATTTCGAACAACAATCCCCGGCGATACATTTGTACTATATGATTCGTTTGAAGAGGAAGAGTATAATTTAGGTTGTGGCCGAATTTTAATTTTTGCAAGCAAGGACAATTAAATAAATCTTTCCAAATCTAAAGTGTGGTACGTAGATGGGACTTTTAAGACTTGCCCGGTAATTTTCTTTCAGTTGTTCGTTATCATGGGGTCAATAACGCAATTAACCCATTAACGCCCAAAAACTGAAAATTCTTTGTACACATTCAGGCTACGTTATTTTAAATAAATCGGTCAACATTTTCTACGAGAGGTACATTTCCTATAGGTCTTGAGTGTGCTCTTTCCGATTCCGGTATCAAAAATTAATTTCGTCTAAGCCGAAATTAAATATGGCGGTTTAAATGTCAAAAAACACAAAAAAAAGTTTCATTTTTTTTCAATCGGAAAAAATGTAAGAATAAAATTAAATTGTCTACCATAGGTGCACAAAAGTTGTGTACTTTCGAGAAACGTAAAGTAGAATAAAAAATTTCAAGATGGCGGACCAAATATGGCGTCAAATTCATTGTAAAATGTGAAAATTTTGTGCAATATTGGTCAAATTGACAAAATGTAACTGGATTTGCCTGAATTTTGTTACTCGGGGGTTTTTGGGGTCGCTGATTAAGAATCTGAAGTCGGTTTTCAAAAATGCAAAATGGCGGATCCAATATGGCTGATGAAAATTTTAAAAATGCATTCATTTGGTCTGAATTTTCATACTCGGGGGTTTTCCGGGTTGCTGATTAGGAATTTGAACTTCATTTTTAAAAATTAAAAATGGCGGATCCAATATGGTGAATGAAAATTTTAAAAATGCATTCATTTGGTCTGAATTTTCATACTCGAAGGTTTTCGAAGTTGCTGATTACGAATTTGAACTTCATTTTTAAAATTTCTAAATGGCGGATCCAATATGGCGGACTCAAAAAAAACAATTCATCGTATTTACATGAAATCAGTTACTCGGAGGTTTTTGGGGTCGCTGATTAATAATCTAAAGTCGGTTTTCAAAAATACAATATGGCGGATCCAATATGAAAAATGAAAAATGTAAAAATCCGTTCAAATAGCCTGAAGGGGTTTTCAGTTTTTTTTTAGCCGCCCATTTAGGCGTTTACCAATTCTTACCACGTGGAGGTAGACAAAATTAAGAATGTTATTTTTTTTTATTTTTTTAAATATAATTTGTTTATTTTAGATTTAATTATTAATACTGAATTAAAAATTTATTTATTCAAATATCTGAATATTTCTAGTGACATACACACAGAAAGAAATAGTTAGTAAAACTTTCATGAACTAGATATTATCTTCTGGATGGGCACGAAGTTAGTAAATTTTTAAACTTTTTCGACGAATTCATCAACTTTTTCTGTGCGCATGCGCAAACATTGGATTTTATGGAGATAGTGGTTATGAATCCGCCATTTTGTATTTTACAAACCCGACTTGAGATTCTTAATCAGCAACCCCAAAAACCCCCGAGAAACTGATTTCATGTAAATACGATGGATTTTTTTCAAAATCCGCCATATTGGATCCGCCATATTTAATTTTTAAAAATGAAGTTCGAATTCGTAATCAGCAACCCGGAAAACCCCCGAGTATGAAAATTTAGACTTCAGATTCTTAATCAGCGACCCCAAAAACCCCCGAGTAACAAAATTCAGGCAAATCCAGTTACATTTTGTCAATTTGACCAATATTGCACAAAATTTTCACATTTTACAATGAATTTGACGCCATATTTAGTCCGCCATCTTGAAATTTTTTATTCTACTTTACGTTTCTCGAAAGTACACAACTTTTGTGCACCTATGGTAGACAATTTAATTTTATTCTTACATTTTTTCCGATTGAAAAAAAATGAAACTTTTTTTTGTGTTTTTTGACATTTAAACCGCCATATTTAATTTCGGCTTAGACGAAATTAATTTTTGATACCGGAATCGGAAAGAGCACACTCAAGACCTATAGGAAATGTACCTCTCGTAGAAAATGTTGACCGATTTATTTAAAATAACGTAGCCTGAATGTGTACAAAGAATTTTCAGTTTTTGGGCGTTAATGGGTTAAAAAAAGGCGTTGAGGAAACGTTTGCTCTGCCGTTTGTGTACGCTCTTCTTGAATGTAAAGAACAGGAAGCGTACTTAAAAGTTCTTCAAATCACGCGAGACTATATTCGAAAGTATGACAAACACTTCACTCAGCCACAATCAGTAATGTCCGATTTCGAACTTGGTATTATCAATGCTGCAAGGAGTACTTTTCATGCCAATATTCTTTGTTGTATATTTCATTTATGTCAAAACGCATTTCGTCGAGTTCAACAGAAAGCTTGCAGGCAAGGTATAACGATGAAAATGATCGATCAATCAAAGAAGTTACTCAAATGATGTGCGCATAAGCCTTCGTTTCAACGGAGAAAGTACCCGAATATTTTGACATTCTGGTGGATAACGTTCCTGAAGCTTTCGATCCAGTAGCCGATTATTTTGAGGTACTTATTTACTTTACTATTTACTTATTTAAAATATGTTTAATTGATTAAAATTACTAATATACTAAAAGTAGGTTAAAAAACATAAAAACTAAAAAAAATTGAAAATTAAAATACTGTACAGGTTACTTATTTTCGAAGTAAGCCAGCTCGAGGAAGAAGGAGAGCAGTAGAGGTACGATACCCTCCGAAAATTTGGAACCACTATGAAACTGTTATCCAGAATATGTCAAGGACGAACAACGCTTCAAAAGGGTGGCATAATCGCTTCTGAGTGATTACTGGACGAAACCACCCAAGCTTGTATGCGTTTCTTGTACAAGTGAGGAAGGAACAAGCTGATACTGAGACAAGGATGAGACAGCTTTCTCTGGGCCAAAAAATAAAGAAGTCGCGTGGTGCTAGCAGCACAATTGTTGAAGACAGAATTTTCAATATAGTTTCGGATTTTCAGAAATATGTTGACGACAAGAACGTTCTCGGATACTTGCGAGCAATCGGCTACAATTTACATTTTTGATTTAATTTTTTGACACTTTTTCAATTGAACATTTTTTATTTTGGAACTTTTTGTTTTTTTGGAACTTTTATACTTTGGGACTCGATATATTTTGACATTTTGATTTTTGGAATTTTTGTATTTTGGAAAAATAAATTTTGGATTTTTTAATTTTGGAACTTTTTTCATGGAACTTCCGGTTTGGAACTTCTGTTTTGGAACTTTTGACTCCCTACCTTTTCTATTTCTTCCTTATTTTTCTCACCGAATTCATCATCCCAAAAATATGACTGGTGACCGGTCATTGATAAGTCAAAACGCCTGATTGATTCTCTAATACTATCTACCATTTCTTTGTCCCGTAATTGCGAATTATTTCCTACCTCACAAATGGTTATGTCTTCTTCACCTTCGTCTTCTGACGTATCTACTGGTGGGCTTAAATATACCGCGGTTTCTTCCCTGGTAATAGGCTGTTCTCTCTTTTTAGCGTCGTCGCTATCGCTTGATTCGTCATCGGTGTCCTCAGCATTCGTATCAATTAAAGAAGGTAGGACACTATGACTTCTTCGCAAAATGGGTACATCTTCTGCTTCTAATCTAGTTTCTGATTCCGTATCTGATTGGCTACTTTCTGAGACGAGCGTGTCATAAATAGTTTTAGAGTTTTCCTCCGTTACGACTACTGGCTGAGTTTTAGTTCTCGACCTTAATCTAGATGCAACGGGTGCAAAATCGACGGGCGGCATCGCTTCTTTAGTTTTAGTTTTCCCTTTTGGCCTTTCCCTTTTGGGTTTATTTTCTGTTGCCGTACCTGGCTCAATATCTACATTTGTGTCGGATTTAGCCCTATTTCTAAAATTATTTTGCGCTCCTTTTTCTGTCTGTTCTTTTCTTGTTTTGCTCGTCGAAGGGCCCGCTTTGTTTTTCTCTAGTAGATTGTTTAAAACTTCTCTAGCTCGCCTTTTATTACAATTAGCCGCACTACTAATAGGGAGCACATGAATGGTTTCCGAATTTTCTTCTATTTCATCACTTGAATTATCGCTAGAAACTACTCTATCGCTAGTTTCCTGAACACTAGTTGAAGATTCTTCTTCTTGTGAATCAGAATTCTCTTCCTTGGGATTTTCCCATAATCCCCTTAACCAGCGGTTTATTTTTCCCGGTTTACATTCGAAATCATAATGGTAATCCTGTGATCGCAATAACCATTTTGTCATACGTGATGTCGGATTCCTAGCTTCATTTATGATTGTTAATGGCTCGTGATCGCACGCAAGTATGAATTTCCTTCCATGTAAATAGGGCCATAAATTTTCTAACGCGTAAATTACAGCTAAACATTCCTTTTCCGTCGGATCATAGTTTTTTTCTGCTCCCACTTAAGTTCTTGAGAAGAATGCAACTGGCAAATCCATCCTATCTTTTTCCTGTGTGATTACCGCACTAATAGCATGTTCGCATGCGTCCGTAGTAACTTTAAAATTTTTTGAAAAGTCCGGATGTTGTAAAATCGGATTTTTACACAAAGCTTTCTTTAAGGCCCGTAAACTTTTCTTTTCTTCCGCGTCCTATTTAAAAATTCTGTCCTTTTTAACAATTCATACAAAGGTTAAGCGATTTTAGCGTAATTGGCTATAAATTTCCGATTATTACCAGTGATACCTAAAAATTCACGTATCGTTTTTTGATTTTTTGGAGCTGGAAAATCCTTTATGGCTTCTATTTTCTTTGGGTCAGCCTTTATTCCGTCCTCCCCTACTACATGTCCTAGGTAAGCTACTTCTTTGCGCAGAAACTCGCATTTTTCCGGTTGTAGGGCTAAATAAGCATTTCTTATTCTCTCTAATAAGCGGATAATGGTTTTATCATGCTCTTCCAACGTGGCAGAGAATACTATAATGTCATCTAAGTAAAGAAACAATTCTGGTCCCTTTTAACCCGTCAGAACGTTATCCATTAGTCTTTGAAAAGTGGGAGCCGCATTTTTGATACCCATGGGCCCCCATGCCCCCCTCCATTTTGTCGTTTAACGCGCGAAAATCGATAACTAATCTACATTTTTTGTTTCCCTCTTTGTCTGCTTTTTTAGGTACTATCAAGACGGGTGAATTGTAGCTTGAATTTGAATTTACTATCATATCATCTCCGTAAATTTTTGCTAAAAGTTTGGCCCCGGCCTGCTCATATTCAGTCTATATTGCCTACATTTTATTGGCTTATCGTCCGACAGTGGAATGTAATGTTTCACTAAAGGCGTGACTGGCAGTTTATCGCCCGATACTAAAAATCTATCTTGCCCTAAATTTATCCATTTTTTACGTAACTCAATTCTTCTTCATTCAAACTTTCCAAATTCATTTTATCGAGAATTGCCTTAACCCTTTGTTCTTTAATTTCTTGCTGATTATCTTGTTGACTGCTAAAAATGTCCTCCTCTTCGTCCACATAATCAAACGGGTAAAGCTGCTTTGATTCGAAACAAACGCGGCACTGGCTTAACTTCTTTTCTCAAACTATGTCTGGCTTCTTGTGATTCCTGATCTATGAATGGAATCGGCTACACCGGCCTATAAGCTGTTATTAATGAATTGTAAAGAAATTGATATTCGCCCTCTCTTCCCTTAAATAGGGTCTTCCTATAATACCGTCTGTTTTCACCCCAAAATTCGGTTTTACTACGTGAAAAATGTATTCCTTGTCAAATATAGTGATTTCTACTGTACCCAAAGTGTAAACTTTTGTTTTCGACACCCCTGTCATGTATGAAGCTTGCGAAGTTTTGACCGGTGCGTCCGGGGTTAAAGCATCCGCTTTTATAATATTAATATCTGCCCCCGAGCCTACGAAGAAACTACCTTTTCCCCCTACCAAATAATTTCCCGGTAATTTCACTGCGGGCGATTCAGTTACTGTCTCACTTATTTTGAAAATTACGGGTTTTCCTGAAAACGTACCATTGGCGGACGCGTTTGATCGTTCGAGCTCGTCGTTGCGTCTTCCCGACGAGCTAGCTCCCAGTTTAAAGGACGGTTAGTGCTGTTTCTTTCTACCGAAGTTGTCCTGCTACTAGGATAATTGTTTCTTTCTCTATTCCCGTAATCAGTAGGGTATCTATTTTCCCAATTTTCCTTAGACCTGCTGGTGTTATAACGGTTATCCTGTGCATATATGCTGGGACTTTGTTGCCTTTTTCCCCAATTATTCCTTCTCGCGTTAGGATTATAAAGCCTAGGGTCGTCATAGTCATTGCTGCGCCCTGTATTGTCCCCCTCGGATTCTCCATAACTATTTTGTCCATAGTTTCTGTTATAATTTCTATCGTTTCTTTTCTCGTACCTGGGCTGGGAGTTGCCCATATCTTGATACCTTCCCCTCCTAGACCGATTTACGACCTGATATCTATTTCTATCCCTTCTGTCTTCAAAATCCCGATTATCTCTCGAATCATTTTGCCTTACCCTTGGTAGGGACCCAACCCCTAAATTATCGTTGTTATAATTAGTGATATACGAAGAATAACCCCCGTTAATGGGCTTCATTTTTCTTTCCTGAGCCGCCTTCGCATATCTGTAGGCTTCCTCTAAATTTCTAGGAGCACGTGCATCTACCGCATTCATAATTTCATCGGGCACCGCCCCCACAAAAGTTTTTAACGCAGTATGCTTTACCACATTTATAGTTATTGTCTCTGTGTTAGCGTCAAACGTAGCGCGCAAAGCCGCACTTGCTCCGATAAGTAGTCTCAATAATCTATTGTAAAGGTCGACTAAGTTTTCATTCCTATACATTTTTAAGTTCATAATTTCCCCATAATATACTTCAAAAGATTGCCCTGGCGCGAATCTTTCTTTCAATAAATCTATTATATCTGTAAGTCTGGCAAATTGTTTATTGTCGGTGCAGTCCCTTGCTGCTCCTGACAATTTTCCTAGCACTGAAGCAATTAACGTTCCTTCATACTCAGGAGGGAAAGTTAATGCTGCTATTAGTATATCTTGTATAAAATCTTTAACCGACATGTTCCTTCCATCAAAAACCCTCATCTGCTCTAGAGCAGTTTGTATATTCAAAGTATCCGCGATAGATCGGGCAGCGGCAAAACCAGCATCTTCTTCGCCGTTTGCGATAAATGCTCGCTGAAGAGGTAATACTGAATGGAACCCTAAATCTGTCCTATCTCTATACAGTTCTGCTACACTAGTTGCATTTAAATTTTCACGTCTATTGGCCGCGAACGGGTTACTCGCGTGTCCATGGTTGTCGCCACTATTACCGGATTGACGGCGATCCCCGTTTCGTTCCTGGTCCGTCATGGTCTTTCGCAAGATAAAACGCAAAAATCAAAAATAAACAAAAAAAAAAATCTTTCAAAAATTATTCATCTTCCTGATAATCGCAAAAACTAATACTCTTATTTTCTTGAATTATTATTTCGTAAAAAAATGCCTTAAAAAAAATACTCGTGTAACTCTGTAACACGACACGGTTTCTTATTTCGTATTCTCTATACTCTTTACCGCAATTGAAAGAAAAATCGCATTCAAACATCTACTGCTGTTCGATTAATACAACAACTATTTATCATCTCTTCTAATTCTCAAATCTAAACGCGCAATAAAATTTCAATAATTCGCTTCTATTAACGCAAATAAACTTCCTTTTAAATACTCATTGTAAATTGTATCTTTTTCCTTTATTATTATTTTAATTCATTCACCTATATATATTCTGCTGATTCAGCACTCTGGCCGCGACTCGGTTCTCGTTGTGTTTTGTAATATGACGAACACACTAACCCCGTAAACTACCTAGCTACTGTAGGTCATTGAATTCGCAACAAATAAATAAGTCGATTAATTAACTCGACATGTTCAACTTTCGCAACGATTGTGCTAATGAAGTATAATTATTTTCTGAACGCATATCTTTGATTTTTTCTTTTTCCACGAATAATTGTCTTTTTACCGCATCAAATTTTTCTGGACTAATATTTCTTCTCGATAAGATTTGTTCTCGAATTTTACTCTGTTTTTCGGATTTACTCTCGTGCTCGTATTTCGAAAAATTAAACATTAAAAATTTTTAATTCAACAACAAAAATTTAAATTCGCGTTTTGTACTTCTCGTACTTTAATCCTCTGACTTGTCCAAGTGGCTACACACTTCCGGCAAGGTTAAGTCGACGAATTTTTCCCGAATTTTTATAGAAACCAGAGCTTGCCGAATGCAATGGTAGTTCGACGGTAGCGAACCAAACAAAAATAAACAAAAATTCTACTCGCGCACTTGACAAAAACCCAAAAAAAAAAAATTTTTTCTCTGAAAATTAAAACATCACAACATCGACACAATAAATAAATTTTTCACTTCAATAATTGTTAATGGTATATAAATTCAATTTCATCATTTTTTCATCCTTTTAATTCTCAGTGTTTAGTGTGTACTTGTAATTGTGCATTTAAAACATGTGCATTTTTAGAAAGAAAATTTATTTCTTCACTCTTTACTGATCTCTCATTTCTCTCCTTCTTAAATCATTTTCTCAAAAATATGAGCGACAAATCCCACCGCTGCCACCATTTTGTTAGAGACGGATGTTAATTAACAAAAGAAAAATAAAAATAGACAATTTAACGAAAAATAATAAATATTTAGAAAGAATACTAATTTTTATTATTCAACAATTCCGCTTATTTGGAAAGCCTAAATTGCTCTTCGCTAACAAAGTTAGATTGAGGTAGTGGACTGCCACTTAGAATATTATTTATTTCAATACCCCCGGATAGACGGTATTTTAGTGAAAATGATTAAAAATAGAAATGAGACAAAAACATCAAAAGGTGATTAAATAAATCAAAACTTGAATTAACACAAAACAATATTACATTTATTCACTTAACCCCCAAACAGTGTACATTTAGTTCCCAGTTTGATCATTGATAAAAAAAAATGTTTACAATTAAAAAGTCATTTACGTTAAGCTACTTGAACAAATTCAAGTCTCACAAAGAAAGGTTTATTTCAATAAAAAAAAGCAAAATGATCAAATGAAAGAAATATTCAATAATAAAACGAAAATAGTTTGTCCTTCATAAAATCGAGACAACAAAATAATCAATTGTATGTGTAAAAAAATGTGTGTGTGATGTGAATGTTTTTTAAAGAGATTCTGTATTTTCCAATTAGAAAATAAATATTCAGAGTAACTCACCAGAAT